TTGTTGGGATTTATTTGGGTTTGCCCAGCAGCCTGTTCAAAACCTGTAAGTGGGGAAGGCAGGTGCTCAGCAGCGCTCGGCTGCAAGGACCCTCCGCCAGCCTTCCCTGTGTGCGGGACCTGAGCAGCAATCCGCAGAAGCACGGACGGGCAAGGAGCCTCAAGGCCAACTCGGGATCTCGGCCATTGCTAATCCGGGATGGCAGCCGCCAGAGTCAGCTCTTCTTCCCGTCTGAGTCAGTTATCGCTGAATTTCCCAGAGACTCTGAATCCCTCCAACACAGGTCTCGTCGTCGTCACCTGTGTTTCCTCCCTGGGGACCCAGCACGTGCCTGGCACAGGGTAGGCACACTGGGACACGCCTATCACGGAACCTAGTGTCCTATCTGCTGTGGAATCTAGCTGCTGTCTTGGTGGTGGGGAGTGGTTTTCCTCCAGGATTTGCTGGGTCAAACCACCATCTCCAAGGCTCTCCCTTGGTGTGTAATTTCGAAAAGCTAAGTGAGAACCCAGCACTATGTGAAATATATGTGCCAGTGACGGGTAGAAGTATGCCTTCCGCACACACCACAAATGTCAAAGTCCTAACGCCCGGCACCTATGAACACGACCTTCTTTGGAAGTAGGGTCTTTGCCAGTGTAATCAATTGAAGATGAGGCCATAGGATAGCCCCTAACCCAACAGGCCTGGCGTTCTTACGAGAGGGAGACCGGGGAACACGGGAAGGATGCTGTCTGCAGACAGACGCAGAGACTGGAGAGAGGCAGCTGCCAGCCAGCGTGGGACCCGGAGCTCGGAAGAGGCAAGGAAGGACCCTGCCCAGAGCCTCGGAGCGCGGCGCTGCCGACGCCTGCGTTTCAGCCGTCTGGCCCCAGGACCGTGCCACAGGGAGCGTCTGCTGCTGTGTGACCACGCACTTCATGGTCACCTGTTACAGCAGCCCTAGGAAATTAACACTGTCCAGCAATCAGAAGGGGCGTTTTGTTTGTTTTTGATTACAACACTTATATAACGGCCGCGCTGACCTCGGCGATGTGTGTTTGGGCAGCGTCCACCTTGTTACGTCACCCGTTTGCTTGTGCCTTTGTTAACGGCACGTGCCAGGCACCAGGGCGACGGGAGCGGGCAGGGAGGCCTCGGCGAGGACGCTCTGGGAGGAGGCCAGCTCCCTGAACAGCGGCACGAGCGCCGTGCCGCAAGTTGCACACACACACACACACACACACACGCACTGCGGAGACCGAGGGGCGTTTATGGAGTGCGTGCTACCAAGTGCCTGGCACCGCACTGAGCACTGCGTCCACACGGCGGCCTTTAATCCCGCACAGACCAACGAGGGAAGGCGCTGTTATGATGTCCACCTTCCCACGGGTGACGTTCGCCTCAGAGACCACGGGCCAGCGAGATGCTGACCGGGTCGGGGCCCATGCTGGCTGCCCAGGGAAGACAGAGGCCCCCTGCAGCCGGCTGCACAGGAAAGTGCGCGCTCTGATTCAGAGGGGTGAGGACTCTAAACAGGACAGTCACTTAAATATTAAAACATCATAGTAGGTGAATTTTCAGAACAGCCTGTCTATACAAAAACCCACAATTGGGCAAAGAATCTGTGGCCATCCTTCCTCGGTCACTAACAAGCACAACCAAGCGCTCCTGATGGCTCATGGGCGCAAAGAGCCGTCACCTCCGTGTGCGCTTGGGCAGGAAGGCGGGATGAAGGTCCTGCTTTTCTCCTCCGCACCTGTCTGCACTTTCCAAACTGGTGATGGGGAAAACACCATCTTTGCTATTACTCTGGCTAACCCTGTGCAGCCCCCGATCTGTCTGGGGCACTGTTCCCAGCGAACGTGTTAACTCAGCTAATCTGCAGCGTGACCCTGCGACAGGGACTCTGTGACGCCCATTTTACCAGAAAGGACACCAAGCCAGACCCAGAGAGACTAGGCAAAGCGCCCACAGCTGGAGCTGCATTCGAACCCAGACACTCCAGCCCGGAGTTCATGTCGTTAACCACCTGGCTGTGATGAGGGCGGGGGCGATTTTTGGAGGAAACACTGAAGTGCCTCGGCCCCAACCTGACACCATTGGGCCACCTGTTATTCTGCTCGGAGGCCTTCTGCACACATTTTCCACTTCTTTTCTCTGCCCACGTCTCGTACTCTGGAATGAGCTATAAATATAACATGTAACATATAAAAATAATGATATGCTCGTGCTTGTCTGCGGCGGCAGGAAAACTTCCCTATTAGGACAACCCAAGGGATGTGCAATTTCAGCCAAGAGTGAAGAGATGATAGCGAGCAAATGACAGGAAAAACAACAGGAGAAAAGAACACAGCTGTCAAGTTAGGGAGTCACCTAATTTACATCAGGACGAGAGTCCACGGGAGGGGAGGGAAGCGGCAGGAGGGGGAGGGGCAGAGAGGGGAGTAAATGGCAGGCACACAGAGCGGGGGTAACTGGGTAACTGGGAAGCCTGAATGGTGCGCAGTGGGCACACCACCGGGTGCCCGTGTGTCCGGGGACTTCACATTCGCAGGACCCTCCTCCATTTCTGTGGGTCAAAAATGGTCAGGTCCCGGCACTTCCATATGGTTCATTGTATACACAGAGCAGCCCTGGAAACACTGAAAAAGTATCCACCCAAAATGCACAGTGTAGGACACTTTCTGTCACATTCTTTGGCCATTTCTCCTCCTGCCCTCCCTCCCCCTACATCCCCCTCCCACCCCGTCTCTCTTCTCCTTCATCCTCCTCTCCTTCCTCCCTCTCCTTTTCACTTTGAACTATATAGCAGGGGTCTAATGATCACTCTTGACAACACCTCCTGAGAAAGATGAACACAGCTGTGTGTACATACCTGTACATTGTGCGTGCGCATTTGTGTACCCACACACGTGCACAGAGTACACGTGTCCAAGGAAGGACACAGGGCACCTCCTCCTGGTGGCCAAGCCTGCATGTCACACAGGACGAGAGGTGCCCCTGCCGGGAGTGCCAGCTGGCTGCTCAAAGGTCGTGTGGCCAGGCCTCCAGCTCGGCCCCAGCAGGGGAGGAAAGGGACCATTTCAGGGAGCAGGACACACTGGCCACAGACCCCCAGGCCTTGAACTCAACCCAACCCCCAGTGGACAAGGGATTTTTCACTGCTGGAGTGCTCAACAATAAACAAACAAGGTCTGAGGTCACACCTCACCCTGTGCTGCCTGACTGCCTCCCAGGAGCTCAGGTGCTCAGAGGCAAAAGACCAAAAAGGCCCAGGAGGCAGGGCGTGGCCGTTTGGCTCGGAGGGTGGGCACCCTGGCTCTGCGGCCTCCGGGCTATAGGAGCTGGGGCAGGGTTCAAGTCCAGGCCGCATCCTCCTCCATGAAGGGAGGCAATGCCGGCGGGGCTGTGTCAGGGACTGTTGTAGTTTAAGGGACAAGGGGAGGTGGGGGGGAGGAGGTCGGCCTTTACCACAGCATCTCAGCCGCAATGTACCAAAACGTGCTGGGTGACGGATGCCTCTGGAATTGCTTTCCCTTTAAATCTGCTCAGGGCAGGGCAGGTGTGGTCAGCACAGCAATGGCGGTGCCAGTCTTCCCCTGTCATCTCCAGCCCATGAGCTCCCTTCCTGCCCACAACACCCGATCCTTAGCCCCCTCGCCCAGCTGCTGGGAGAGGTGAAACCCAGTCCCAGGCACTGGGGCAGGACTCCTTTTCTTTGACACCTGACCTTAAAACAATGGTTTTTTTTTTCCAGTCTCACAGCCAGGCTTCCAGGCACCCTGCCAGCAGACAAAACGACTGTTTTCCTCCCGAGGGTCCCAATTCCCATCATGCAACTTAGAACCTGGGTGAAAATGCCAAACAAGGAACCACCTGCCAGACAGGGCCGTTTCCAAGGAGGGCTTTCATATCTTAGTAGGACCCTACACTGAGCCAGGATTAAGTCATTGCCACATTAAAGGGACGCACCTTTAACATTTCCATGACATAATCACATGCAGTTACGATCATGTGAAAGAACTCTTTATAATTAGTGATGACTCCACTTCCTGAAATGTGTAATCCTTCTGTCTTGAATTCCAAAGAGGTTGGCAGAAGGGAGGCACTAAATATATACCAGGAACTAATATTTAAATCAGTTTTTAATTCACCTTTCGATATGAACAGCAGAACCAGAACAGAAGCTTACCTTTGTTAGGACTCTAATTCTTTACATCTGTGAGGCTAAACATGTAGCAACAACGAAGCCACACAGAAACGCCAATGACCCCAGGCCTGAGGTGACTATCCCTAAATGGCAGTAATTTTGCCCAAGCAGCCACGTGAACTGCCTTTCCTGAGACGCACTAAAACACACCCCAACGGTGTGGCTTTGGCAACAGTGCCATGTCATCAGTTAACGAAGCCCTCTGACTTGTCTGTGACTTAAAAATGAAAATCGTTTTTCCTCTGATTAGGAAAGTTCCCCACGTGCCAAGCACTGACTTACCTGCGGACCACGTAACGTCGCTTAGTCCTCCCAGCCATCCTGAGCCAGGACTGTTGGGGCCCCGTTTCACAAATGGGGCCACCCAGGCACTGAACTGGGACGCGACTTGCCCACGCTGCCATCCCCCACTTGGAAAGGCCCACGTATGTGAACTACAAACCAGAGGCGATAAACAGACTTCCTAGACTCTGCCGTTCTCTGTCACTGCAGCGACTAACCAGGAGGGAAATTCCGGAACCTCCTTACAGCTCATTTCTGTTGCTAGCAAAGTTTTGCAGCTGAAATTTTGAAAGATGAAAGTGCAGAGGGAATAAAATCCGACCCACAGCAACACCCAAAAGGCTTCCAGAAAAAAAATCTGACAGTTTTTCTCAAACAAACAAACAACCCCACCACCGAAACGGCACAAATTGCCTCTATTTGATTTTCCCACTTGCTCACAGGACTCGGTTATCTGCTTCCGTCCCTGAGATATGGAGGTGGCGCTCCACCTCCCCAGACAGCCCCAGGTGAGGCAAGGGTTTACCTTGTCATAATAGTATCGCAGGGCTCTGCTCAGCTTATCGTAGTTCATGTTTGTTTTGTTTTTTCGGAGTCCCCACAGTTTGGCCACTTCTTCTGCTTTGAGGAGCTTGAATTCACCATCGTTGGAGGTCCAGCAGATCAGATGCTCATGTTTCTGGTCCAGCAGCAACTGCAACAGGAACTGCCACAGCGTGATTGCACTCTCCATACCTGGGGAGGAAGGGGCCGGTCAGAGCGCCAGTGCACAGCAAGCCTGGGGGCGGGGCTGCGGTGAGCCTCAACTCCCTCCTCCCCGCCCAGGAGCCTGATAAAGTCATGTTCATGTCCACCCTCCACCCCAACGGGCCACGCTGAATCAGGTGCCCTCTGGCTGCATTTTGGAAACAGCCATAATTGAGAAGAACTACAAGGAAGCCCTGTGATCCTCATATTCACAACACACATCCCCTTGGGTGACACGGTTGCGATGGAAATAAAGTGAGAAAATGATTCATGAATGGCCCACTTGTAGAATTAACCCCCATACAAACGATTCTCCACTTAACACTGGTGTCTCTTCCCACCCATCCCAACAACTGTGGTGGTCGGTCTCCCATCCATTAATTGCTATGAGAACTGGACCCCTTGTTAAGAACATTTGTGTGGGAGCTTGGGGTAACAAGGTTGGTGCATATCAGTAGGTGTAACTGCAGAACGAGCTCCGCGAGGAAGGGGCGTGATCAGATGACTCTGCATTTCCAGCGATAACCCAACACGACCCCCGAGTGCAGCGCACACCCAGCCGACAGACGTGTGCCACTGAGAGAGGCCTCCCTCCACCTTCCCAGCCACTGGTCAGGCTGCAGATCGAACCCACTGTCACAGTGCAGAAGGGGGAACACTGTCTCCACCAGGACGGGAAAGCCCACAAAATGCTGTCTTTTCCCTTTGACTCTGGTGTGGACTTTGTAAACACTCTTCCCTAGCCTTGGAGGCTGGTGAACTCCTACTCGTTCATCGGGACCCAGTTCAAACGGGCCTTCTCAGGGACATTTCTCCCCACTCCCTCGGGTGGCTTCTCAACTTCAGACGTTTGAAGACTTCCAGAGCCATGGGTACTCAGGCTGGAAACAATTATAGTGGCAGAAATAATCACAATAATAAACTGCCTCTCTTATCGACATTGGTTAAGTTAGGAAAGAAGAGGCGGTTGGGCTGGACTCGAAAGCTTCGCCTCAGACCCACTGCCCTGACGGGACAGGTGACGTGTGCTGGGTTTAGACGGGGGCGGGATGGGGTGGCGCCCCAGTGCTGGGCGGAGGAAGCCAGGGACTAACAGAAGGGGGGAGATCGGCTTCTGGTAAGAAGAGAAGCTTCAAAGGCAAGTTGTGAGTTGGGGACAAGGCCAGAAGGAACTATGATGGCAATGAGGGGACAATGAAGTCCTAGGAGGCAGCCAGGGGCGACTGGAACAAGGGAACAGTGACACGGTTCACGCCCCTGGGAGACCGGAAGCCAGAACAGCTGCTCTGGGAGAGTCACTTGTACCAGTACTTGTGGCATCTCTACAAAAGCTCTCACGCACTCCTCTTAAAGGGACCGAGTTCAGACTGACAAATTGTTTTTCTCCCTTCCCACGTGGGAACAGATGGGAAAATACCCAGCCATCCAGTAAGTACCCATTTCCTCATTCCCCTTCACATGTTTAGCCAAAGCAACACGGGTTTCTCAGTTAAAGGAAAGATCGGGAATGTTCTCCAAATACCCATACGGCATTTTAATCACGGCTCTCTAAAGGAGAAGTCAACCTCCCTCCCCCATCACGGCCACTCAGCCTGCGTGACCGAGATGTTAAATCATCGCGTTGTTGGATCAAAACCACCTTTGCTTCTCCCGGGTCTTCCCAGCCGGCTGCCGCGACGCAGCACCCCAACGCAAACCGCCCTTCCAATGACTGGAGGACGAGCCACGGACTTTCTTCTCATCGCTGGCACTAAAAGGTGCTAACAGCTGTCTCAACCTCTTTGGCGTTTTCTTGGCCAAACACTTCAGACCGCAACCTTTAAAATATCTTTGAAGCCTGAAAGGGATGCTGAGAAGAGTCTGCTCCGGGGGGCAGAAGGCTGCCAGGGCGTTTGGAGGTCTGGGTGCGAGGGACCTGCAGGAAGTGGCCGGCCACCTGCTCCGCCCCAGCCGTAGTGGACGCGAACCACTGTGTTGCAGATGGGACAGGGGGACGGTGAAACATCTCTGCGTATTTTATACTCAGTGCTTCTTCCGCCAGGACTCCCTTCCCACAGTGTTCCCACCACGTGCGTGGGAGCCAGGCCCTCCAGCCATCCATCCCTAACAGGACCTGCGTGGCACACCGGGTGGATGCTCTCAAGCCTTCCCTGCTTGCCCTTCACGTGATCGTGCAACAGTGCACTAGACGGGATGGGGTCCTTTTTCCCCACTGACGTTTGGGCTCGGCCATGTGCTTTAACTTGGCCAACGGAATGCTGGTAGAAGAGGCTCCCCACGCTTGCACCCTTCCTCCTGTCCCTACCATGACGCTGCTGCCCCCAAACGTGACACCTGGACCCAGCCCAAACTCAACCCAAAGCCTGAGGCCACGTCTCAGGACCCACAGTCTGAAGTACTGGGTTGGCCAAAAAGTTTGTTTGGTGTTTTCCCACGAGATGGCTCTAGTAGCACGCTTAGCTGACTTTAACTTCATTTGAAACAATTTTGTTAGAGTATTGGGACAGCTGCCATATCAGTGTGCATTTTTAAAAAACTTACCAAAACTGGTGAATTTCTGTGTAGCCATTTTAACACTGAAGATGACCAAAAATATGCAACATTTTTGGTGAATTGTGCTTTATTACGTCAGGAAACATAAAAACACCACAGAAATGCAAAAAAAAAAAACACAAAACTTGTGCAGTGTATGGAGAAGGTGCTGTGACTGATCAAATGTGTCAAAAGTGGTTTGCAAAATTTCTCAGAACTACTGACCTTTGGGGCAAATAATTCTTTGCTGTGGGGTTGGCTGGCTGATGCACTGGAAGATGTTTAGCAGCACCTCTGGTCTCTACCCAGTAAGAAGCCAATAGCAGGAGATAGACGACATACTCAAAATATCCGAATCAACAAAGTGATTGGTGAAAATGAAAAATGTGTCTTTTACTTTACAGAAAAAAACTAAACGGACTTTTTGGCCAACCCAACAGCATCCCTGAAGCCAACCCGTGAGAAAAACAAACGCTGTGGTGAGCCAGCAAGCCCAGGGGCGGTTCCACGGCACCACCGCAGCAAATGACCATCACAACGTCCAGCATCCTTGCTTTAAAAAACTCTCCCTTCACTGGGGTGCGGTGTCTATAGAGCTTACATTTACAGTCATCAGCACTTTACAAAAAGTGTTCTAGGAGACGCGGAGGGAGGGGCTGACCGTGTCTTTACTCAGAGGGCTGCAGTGGGCTGAGTGACGGCCACAGGGGCAGTGCCATGGCCTAAGGCAAAGGCAGAAGGAGAGGGGGAAAGAAAACGAAGAGGTAAAGGAGTAGAAGTGAAAAGTCAGGGGAGCAAATGGTGGAGGTGGGGACCTCCAGCTCAGGGGCCTCCCAGACTTCCGGCAGAGAGGAAGGAAGGCACAGGGCTGCGAACCAGGAACCAGAGAGCTGCCTGCAAACACTCGGAGGCCCGGAGAGCTTGGCTGGTGGCTGGCAAGCTGGGAAATGATCCCTTCCTCTCCCCTCAATCCTCCCAGGCCGAGGCGGCACAGCCAGGCTGCAGCTGAGGACCGAGGGTTACTCAGAAGGGTTCAGTGTGAGTAACGCGGCTCCACCGGATGTGACTAAGGCATCGAGCCACTCCCGCCCCAAGCTGAGGGCCTCATTCTCCTCTTCTCCAGCTCCCTTCAGCCACCTCTCCACCCTGGTTGGTCCACCAGTTCCAGTGACTGCTCAGCACACAAGTCTTCACTGTTGGAAATCCCAGCCACACATGACTCCGAGATGAGTCTCAAAAAGTATTTCCCTGTGAGCTCATAATGACATCAACAAACAGCTGTCACCCCCTTCTGCACTTGGCAGAAGTAATCCTGGGACACAGCAGGCCCCAAAGACAGCTGTGGACCCTCCCACACCCTCTGGCCAGAGCCAGCTGCGGGGCTGAAATGCACAAGTGCTGTATTTTGCCATGTATAATGCGCACTTTTTTGCCCAAATTTTTAAAGGAAAAATAAGGATGCTCATTATACCTGGGTAGAGTGATTACATACCATGGGTGTAATAATCCCATGTATAATGTACACAGAAAAACATGGGTATGCATTATACACAGCAAAACATAGTAAGTGCGGGGGAGGAGGGGCAGGGGGACCGGAGGGCGGGCCGCCAGCCGACATCGCTGCTGGTGTTCTCTCCATTCAAGGGCACTCACTGTATGTCTTTCTTCTTTATTTCCCATCTTGCATTTATTATATTCATGATTAGCCTTCATCGTTCACACAATTGTCTCTACACACAACCATGCTTCACACTTCCACCTCGGCCAGCTGTACACGTGGGTCCCTCCGGGACAGTGGACAAGAGGGAATCTAACTTCGCGGCTGCGGAGCGTGCTTTGCCAACAGCCACCAACCCTGAGCGTATTCAGCAAATCTGTCCAAAGGAGTCTCTCTCACCAGAAAAAAAAATCTAAGTGTTTTTTCTCCTAAACCAGTTCCCTAATGAACCCCTTTATCTGAACATGGAAGTACAATAAAATCCAATGTATCTGGCTGCCATTATAAGGAATATGAGTAATGCAGACAGTCCCGTGGCTTCATTAAATAAAAAGTTCGAGAAAGTGTTGATACTCAAGAAAGAGTAATGATTGATACAGTATTATGCAAACGGAGGCCTGTGTTAAATTAAAATGGTTCATCGGCCTAACCTCTTTGAGCTGATTTTAAAACTCTCCACTTAAGACACGTAGAACACATGAAAGAAATGCTATAAATGTTTCAAAAATATAGCCCCGAACCAAACTTCTGTTCGTAGAAGATGCTCCTCTTCCCCTCCCCCCATCCAGACCTGTTTGGAACGTATCAGCCATTCTGCACGCACGACCACGCTCTGCACGTGTGTGTTTAGGAGGCTAGGCCAACGCTAAGGCACCATAAGGCACCACGGCTCTGACAGGAGGACACTTCGCACTCCTCCTCAGCTGTGCCGCTTGCCGCGGGCGCCCACCACCTCCAC